TCTTGAGAATGTATAACTTTTTAAAATCTTGAGTGGTATGGCACAGAAAGGAGTACATTTATTAAAATTAAAACACAAAAAATGTTTCATGACTATGTAAACTAAAAAGGCAGATAAACTTGCTGAGTTTACAGTAATCAATCAGCTATTTTGAAAAGATTTAGGTGGCAGTCATGTGAAAGATAAGGCAAAGCACTCTTAAGAGGTGTATTACTGAACTACTATTTTTCTTAGCATATCATGTTTCATTTTTTTCACCTCACACAGTGTTGAACTTGAAAAGGAAAATATCAAGAAAGCATCATAAATTCATCAGCTAGAAACAGAGGCTGGTAGTAAAGGCATCTTCAGTTAGGACAAATTTTGATTGACTGTTCTTAGAAAGAAATGCTATTTCAGTTTGTCACAGTTAGCTATTCTGGGTGAACAGTTATGGGCAATACTGCTTCCACTTCATGATTTTCATTCCACAAAATTACGTCTACTGCTTTTGCAGTAACCATCTTATTACATCCTGTTTTGTTTTGTTTTGTTTTAATACATTTTAGCAATTACAAATGCTCCTAGAGCTCTTGCTCTTAGAAATTCTACTGCAGTTACTGGTATCTGCTTTATTTCTTCAATAGATGACCCTAAGTTATTGTAAAATTACTTCTGCATAAAATACAAGAAACCTTAGAATAAATATTCTTATATATACTTACCCATGCAGAATAATTTATTTGCTTATTCTGGGAAATGTAAGATGGCTACTTCTTATGGATTGCATTTGAACCTATTAGAGTGCCAGCATTATAATGTACAAATCAAGTAGATAAAACATTTGAACTCCAATTGAGATCAGTTGTATTTTGTGCTCTTGTATTAACTGTGTGCAGGCTAATAGAAACAGTATTGATATTTTATACTTGCTGTATTTTTTTGTTAAATACTGTCTATGTTATAATAACGTGCGTGTACACAACTTCTTCTTCCTTAAAGCTAGTAACTGGATGTTTCTCATACCTAAACTAGTTAGGACTGTGTTCCAAATTTTTGATTTTTTTTATGGCTAAGAAATCCATTTTGTGGTTTCACTTTTAAGAATCTCTCTGCCTCAGCTGGTTTCTGTAATGAAGACAGGGTTCATTAGCATCTACATTGCATGCTATTGCTCTGAAAAGGTTTGATAGATTGTCTCAGCCTTGCTGTTTCTTGTGGAGAATGAAATAAGGGAGATGTGATCATTTACAGGATTATCTCAAAGAAATAAGGAACAGTCCCTATTACAAATCAACTTGGATGAATCCTACAGATGATAGCCTGAGCACATGGGATTTGATTGCTTGTATTTCTGGGAGTGCCCTTTGGAATTTGGCCACTGGCATGGGGATATAGGAAATTGAGTAATATGTGCAATAATCAACTAATCACCATGCATTGGCTGCTAGGCAATAAGCAATGTAAGTCATTAAACCTGGTGTCCATTAAATCTGGTCTTTCTGGAGCAAGTAAGTGATGAGGTCAATGATACATCTCTGTGCTGTTCAGTTGTGAGTAAATATGGCATCTGCTAAGGCTGTAAACTATTATTTTTCATATAATACAAAAAAAAAAGGGCACTGGAATGTAATGTAACCTTCAGCAGTAGGCACTGAGTGAAAAGATGGTTTTAAAACTGAGTGATGAAAATAAAAAGAGACATCATTACTAGCATAATGTGGGACTGTGGCAGATCTGATAGTTGATTTTTCTTTTTTTTTCCTATTTCTATATTAGGAGTCTTAAAAGGGGGGGCAACACAGCTTCTTCTGATTCCTTTGTAAAACATAAAACCTGCTGCATACTTCTGAGCTATTTCATTGCAAGTTGTTGCCTAAGTTGAATTACACTCCCTGTTGATCAGTGTTTACTTGGTCCATTCGCTGTTCAAATTGTTGCTTAATAGACCACATCTTAAGTGACAGAGGTGTGCAAGTAAGTATGTTTTTTGTTCAGTTGTCTTCGTGTTTATGATTTCCGATCTGTCTGTAACGTCTTTGAGGAACAGGAAGCAAAGATAGGGAAGGGTATTTCAGGAGGCTTTTGGCTGCTGCATCTCTAGTGACACCTTGTGGGATGTTTTGCAGGATCTTCAATTTCTCTTTAAGGAATAAATAATTTGAAATACCTATTTGACAAAAACTTGTCTGGACACTCCACACTGGGATATGGTTAAGTTTCTCCAGACACCAGTCTGGAGTGTTCCTCTCCCCCACCTCAGGAATGGCATTGTAACTGGGAGTTGATAGGATGAAATGCAAAACCAAGATGCTGTTTGACAACTAAAGACAGCAGAGAACTGAAAGATGGTACTTGGTTCATCAGATTTTGATTATGTTGAATTTTCCTTCACAACATTTTTAGGTTTGTTGCGCTCTAGGTCAGATCTTCACCCGAGTGATGACACCAAGCTGAGTGGTGCAGTTGACACATTTAGAAGGAAGAGATGCCATCCAGATGGATCTTGACAAACTTGAAAGGTAGGCCCATGTGAACCCTGTGAGGTTCTGCATAGCAAAGTGCAAAGTTTTGTACTTAAGTTGGAGTAATCCCAGGTGTGCACACAGACTGGGAGAAGAACTCCTTGGGAGTAGCCTTGCTGAGAAGGACCTGGGGGTCCTGGTGGATGAAAAACTGAACATGAGCCAGCAGTGTGCTCTTGCAGTTCAGGAGGCCAGTGGTACCGTGGGCTCTATCAGAAGAGGAGTGGCCAGCAGGGACAGGGAGGTGATTGTCCCTCTCTACTCTGCCTGGAGCACTGCATCCAGGTCTGGGGCCCCCAGTACAGAAAAGATAGAGAGCTGGAGAGGGTCCAGAGGAGCCACAAAGATTATCAGGGGTCTGGAGCACCTCCCCTACAAAGACAGACTGAGAGAGATGGGGTTGTTCAGCCTGGAGAAGAGAAGACTGCTGGGTGACCTCATTGCAGCCTTTCGGTACCTAAAGAGAGTCTATAAACAGGAGGGGAATCAACTCTTCGGAAGGGTAGATAACAGCAGGACAAGGGGAAATGGTTTTAAGTTGAGGGAGGGAAGATTTAGGTTGGATGTCAGGGGGAAGCTCTTTACAGAGAAAGTGGCGAGGTGCTGGAACAGGCTGCCCAGAGAGGTTGTGGATGCCCCATCCCTGGAGATGTTCAAGGCCAGATTGGATGCGGCCCTGGGCAGCCTGGTCTAGAATCAGATCTGGAGATTGGTGGCCTGCTGTGGCAGGGCAGTTGGAACTTGGTGATCCTTGGAGTCCCTTCCAACCCAAACCATTCTATGATTCTATGATGATTCTATGATTCAGGTTTAGAGCTGAGTTTTCAGAACTGATATAGCAAATTAACTGAAGTATCTTTTCTAAGAATATCGTATGTGTACATCTGATCTGTGTCCATCATAAAGTCCAGGGTACTGATCTCTAGTGGCTCAGCAACTGGTTGTGATACAAATGCGGCACAGGCACCAATGCTTGCAGAATGAGGCTGTTCCTCCATGACATTTGTCTTTCCTTGTGCTTGTGGGTGAGGAGGCCAGAGTGCCCAGCTATGCAGAGAGTGGAGAGGAGAGCAAATGGGCAGCAGATTTTGGTACTCACCTGTGCCTCACCTTGCCTGGAAGCAGAGGCTCCATTCTACAAGGAGGACTCCTCTGCAAGTGAGGCTGAAGTTTTTGCCCAGTGCGTGAGAAGAGTGGCAAAGGAAAGGCTAGCTGTTGCTGAAGTTGGATACTGATTGATTGAGGGCCAGTAATTACACATCCTTCTCCTTTCCTTGGGTGCACAGTATTTTTCCTCTTGTCATTTTCATCAGAAACTTAATTTTGCAAATAATATGACTGTTGTAACTAGTGGTTTTAATTAATTATTGTTTTAAAACGGGTCATTTCTTAGAAAATTTCTAACCAGATTCATTGCTGTGCTTATAAAGGAGACTATAATGTGGGAAATGTAGCAAAATAAATCTCTTGAAAAGTGGTTGGAAAACAAATTTTTAAAAAAAGATTTACCGTTGCTGCCTTGCCTAGCAGAATATTTTATCTGTCTTTTTATAAATACCATGAATGTAAATTTAACTTTGTCCGTTGCTGACTGCAAAGGAGGAATCAGAGACTTGTCTTCCAGAAATTGTTATGAATTCTCTTCCAGTAAGGCAGAGCTGAGTTGATTTTTGCTCTGTCACATAGCTTCTCCTTCCTTTGTGTGCCGTTTTTCATTCTCCTTGTCCACCCCAAGGCATTCTGCTTTTGTGGAGTTGCATGATTAGGCCTTTAACTGATGCACTTGATTCTATTACTAGTGTTTTTGTTTCCTCTGTATGCAGTCACTGAGACGCATGAACATGAGGAAAGTAAAAATGGGTCTCTAAAATCTCGAAAGAATCTCTAGCATCTAGAAGAAAAATCTGATAAGTCCCATTCTAATAAAAAGCCATTCTTAAAATCAACTTATGAATGGAAAACAGTTTTGCAAAGAGGGGAGTTTAACCTGTGCTAATTTAATAGTCACTGAAGTTTCACAAGCAAGTTGGTTGAAGTGTTGGCCTGGTTCCCCTACGGCAACTTCTCTGGAGAAAGGAAGCTATTGATACACTCCATATTGCTTTCACCTCAACTGTCATACTCTGTAGCAATAACGTCTGTTGTCAGAGGACAGAATACAGTATGAACAGTAAGCTGTACAACTTTCTTATGCCTCTTGTGCGGAAGTAGGCAGCATGACTTGGTGAGGAAGCAGTGTGATTCAGTGACAGATCAGCCTCCAGTTTTATCCTCTACCTGCTGGGGATCTGCCTCCCAGCACTGACGCACCAGCACAGACATACTGGTGTGCCAGTGCTCGGTGGGAATCTTGCTCATCTGGCAGTCAGTTACTAAAAACCCTATCTCCTGGTGTTTCACATTCAAGGCAGAAGGTGTCCCGTGTTCTCACAGCCTACATACGAAACATCCCACGTCGTTCGTAACCACCCTCCTACTTTCACTGTGCGGGGGAGTTTGTCTTTACTAGAAACAGTAATTGCAAACGTGAACTTCATATTTACTGAAAGCGGTAGACTGCTTCACCCTGACTCATGGAAAGGAGTCCAGATATTGGGTAATGGCTCGCTTCTTGATAATCCATTTCTCATCTTGCACAATCTTTGAAACGAAGGCTAGACTTCTGTGCCAGATTCAGTGGTATAGATGACGCATAGGGCTGCTCTTCTTTGCCAGAATCTAGGATGGAGCGATGAACTGCAGGAGTGTCGCTGACTGGTGAAAGCAGCGTAGTATTGGCTCAGCTGGGTTTCAGAGTGAAGGCTCAAATATCAGCATGTCTTCTAGTTTCAGTTTTAGAATAACAAATCTAGTTTGGTTCTTGTACCTCCAGCTGAAATAAAAACTGTTACTTTTGTGCTCTCCTTCTTTAACCTCATTAATGAATCTTTGGCTCCCTCTTTACTCTTTTCTTAGCTTTTTTTTTTTTTTTTTTTTTTTGTAATATATATTGATGTTTTACTTCAGCAGGAAATCCCCTTTTTTAATGCAATGTAATGAGTCACTACTGCTGTTTGCTTCAAGCTGTTTGCTTCAAGCTGAAGGGGATTCCAACTATTTAGTTGTATTACTGCTATATATAATCCTGTTCCACTGTGTAGGTTGTAGCTTTGAAAGAGAGAAAGGTTTGACAGAGCAGTAGGTTAAACAAGCAATGTTGCCAGTAGTTTTGTTTAATAAATTGGAGATTAATAGTTATTCCAGTGAGTTGAAAGCAGCTTAGGAATTTAATAGGTCAAAACGCATCTCAAATTGAAAAAAGATGCTGAGCATTTTAGTATCTTGAAAGGTCTGTAGGGGTGGGGGGGTGGGGGGAGAAGGAGGGAAGGAGGGGAACAATGCATGATAGCTTGTGAGTCCAGAAACAAATACTACAATTTCTTCAGCAAGAAGCACTGTCTGGTTTGAGTTTTTGTGTATGCTTGGAATCAAAACTGAATTGCTGAATTTTTATTTTTTTTCTGGTATGGAAGAACGGTTTGAATTTCTTTCACTATAAATGTGTTGATCTTTGTGTCTGCATTACTGTTGTTTTAGCACGTGTTACCTTAAGCTGCTGTCTTCTGAAACCTTCCTCTACATATTCTGTTACCTGGAGTGACTGCTCTGATACTGTGTGCTAGGGCATTAATCACCTTTCAAAACTGTGTGTGCCTACAGGAGATGGAAATTTTTGTTTGCAATAGTCTTTGGTTCTTTGCTTTTATCTGCCATTTAAACAGAATTCAGCAACACCAGTTTCTAAACTATCTAGGAACAGAATGAAATATAACCTGAAGTCACCATTTAAAAGCAAGTTGTGGCAGTATCTTCAAGTGTTAAGATGTGTGAAGGAGTGGTTGTGTATTAAGATATGGTGGTTATTAACTGTTGAAAGGGACCACGAGATTGCTGAAGGTATCACAGTAACACTCTTGAGTTTAGAGTCATATTACTGGTTTTACAGCATATTGCTGTAAAGGAAATAAGTTAATAAAAGCCACAAAGATGTACAATTTCCCATTGCTTTTGACTAATACTTTTAGAGAAAGAACGTATAAAAATGATCTTACTTGAAGATGAGGGGATTTCTTAGGAAGAACACTTTTAAAATGCATTCAAGAAGGTCTTGCTCCAATCTAGTGACCTCAGGTTGTTTTCTAAGAGTGTGAAATGTCAGCCCAGATGAATGGGAGACCAGAGAGCAAAATGCCCAAGCTACTTCTGGGATTTAATGCTTTGTGGTTTTTGTTGTTGTTTTGTTTTTGTTTTTGTTTTGGAAGGAATTCAATTGCTAAAGATTCTGAATCTCATAGCAATGCTCACAGATAATTACTTAGCTTAGCTGCAGCCCACTTAAGGTAGCTGGACCAAAAGAGCTGGGCTACCCTGCAGGACAGAAAAACTCAAACTGTATAACTCACACCAGGGTGGTGTGGTGAGGAGGCCCTTGGGTGAGTCTGTCTCAAATCACTCTGGGTCTGGAAGCTGACCAGAATGGCTTCACCACTGCACTGGTGAAGGTAATGCTATGTGAATAATGCTGGGCTTCCCATTTAGCAAGTTCAGGTGAGGTTGTCTTAGGGCCCAGTGTCATAACTACATGATGCTGAACAGAAACTGCTAAGCCCCCTGCAGCCTAACACCCACATGGATCTGGGGCACAGACTTTGAAAATACTCCATTTCTGTCTTGTCTGGATCCTCTCATACAGGTTACATTTTCCTTCGCTATTTCTCTCTGATTTGCAAGATCTGGATACGTCTTTTCAGGAAAATAAGGTGAGCTAAACTTGAATGTCTGCTAGCACTTGAAAAATTAATAGATGGTGATGGGACATCTATTAGACTAACTGGCTGTCTGCTGTGATTTAAGGCAGCATTAAAAGTAAGATGCACAGAAAGGTATTGCACAGATTTAGAGTAAGGTTGTAATTCATAGGTAGATACATATACCTAGGTTATAAACTAATCTTCAGTACTTAATCTTCTTGTTTGTTGGTTTTCTTTTTAAGGTTATAATTGCAGGGGAAGCACACAAGGGAAGTAAAGCTATTTGGTATAGCCTCCTACTGCTCTAAGCACTTGTCTCTTTTTTTTTCCCTTAATAAAAAAGAATAAAAAGAGCAACCTTATCTCCACTACAGCAAATGGCTTTTCCTTGCATCATTTAAAACATTTAACAACCTTTTCCTTTACCATTCAATGAATTTTTACATTTTCTTTATTGTTCCCCGGTGCCTACACGTTGCCTCTGTCTATGTTTTATGAGTAAAATCTGAATAACACAAAGGTGCTTTTTCCATAAAATTAAGGTCATATGAGGTGGAAATAGCAGCCTAAGATCAGGAGAGCCTTCATTTTTATTGTCCTTTCTTTTGGTAACAGGAAATAGCTCTAAGGTGGTTTTCTTGTAGGATGTTATGTGGGAATTCTTGCTTTTATAAATTTTTGTTGATGTTGTCTGGTTGCTTATGTAATAGCTAACTGTATTAGAAATAATTGGATCTAGCTTCTAATGGTGAACTCCCTCTCTAATGTGGTTATTAGCTTTGTCACACTCACTTCTATATCTTGCACAATCATACAGTAAAGTAGATATTATTCTTTATTTTACAAAGAAGGATTTGTATTTTTATTGTATTTATGATTCATGTATTTTATAATAGGAAGGGGGTGATCATTCTGGCTATGATATTATGTTATGTACTGGGAGAAGAACTCTTTGAGGAGCAGCCCTGCTTGAGAAGTCCTGGTGGATGAAAAACTGAACATGAACCAGCAGTGTGCTCTTGCAGACTGGAAGGCCAATGGTGTCCTGGGTTCCATCAGAAGAGGGGTGGCCAGCAGGGACAGCGAGGTGATTGTCCCTCTCTGTTCTGCCCTCATGACATCCCAGCTGGAGTAATGCATCCAAGTCTGGGCCCTGACACAAGAAAGATGTGGAGCTGTTGGAGAGGGTCCAGAAGAGAGCATTAGTGATAGTGAAAAGATCATCAGATAATCCAGAGAGCCTAGAAAATACAATTCTATTCTGAAATGCAGTGAATGTGTCACCCTTCAGTGTCTTTTTCTACTACAAGGTACGTTTTTTTCACAGCCCACTGACAAGCAGGATAACTTCTATGGAATGCCTGCATTTCCACTGTTTTCCCTTGGTCACCTGCAAGCAGGTCACCCAGGAGAAGGCATCTCTCTATATTCAACTCAGTGCCAATACCAAAGCAGCTAGCTCTTATTGGGTACATTACATCTTACTTTGTATTTTCTTTCATTTTTTAAATCCAGAATTTATTATGTCTTGTGCTTAGTTGGCAATTTGCAACCCACAGTTGAAGTGTTAGTTGACAATAACATTGATAAGCTTGCTTATCAATGGAGGGAGGGGCATTTTTACACAATACTGTTCAAACACAATACTGTTTGATATCATTCGGTTTTACTCTATTCGGTATCATTTGCCATCATGATCATCCAGTTTCAGTAATGCTTCAGGTAATGTAGCCAAAAACTTTCTCTACTTGAATTCCATGATATTCCCTCTGTACAGAGGGACAAGTAACTGTAGTGAAGAGTGGTTACTTTCTGTGAATTTTTCTTTGCATTTTAAAATGTTTTTGCATGATTTATTCTAAAAACATAGGGAAATGTATATGCCTTAGGGAAGTGTTTAGAAACAGTTTGGATGTGGTGCTCAGGGACTTGATTTAGCAGAGGGTTGTTAGAATTAGGGTAGTATGATTAGGTTGCAGTTGGACTCGATGATCTTTAAGATCTTTTCCAACCTGAGCAATTCTATGATTTGGAAATCTATGATTTGGTCAGCAACTAACATCTTTGTGATAATCCTTCATTTTTTCCACAATCTTCAGCTCAACCTTGAATCTTGGCATTTTTCCTTGGCCTTAACTATAGTGATGTTCAATGTTTCAGGTGAACTTGCTGTTTTTGACAGTCCTTGAATCTGGAAGAAAAATGCTTTGTCTCATCCAAAAAAAAACCCTAGCTGTCTCTATTGTATAAAGGTCATATTTGCAACAAATTGTTAGATCTTTCTTTAAGACTTCATTGCCATATAGCGTGGGAAACATATTATGACTTCAGGGTTTACTTTTTCCTCTTGGTAACTGTCAAATACATTAAACTAAGCATGGATAGGAAAGAGTTCTTTCTGAAGCTAATGCAGTAAGAAAAATTCTTTTCATGGAGGATTCAGACACTGCCAAAATTAGATTTAATTCCAGTTCAGGACAATACTCAAAATTTAAAGCCTGAAATATTTCAGTAAGAATAACTGTAATGGCAGAAACCAATGGGTGGGCAGCCAGCTGGGGTACAGGGTGGACTTTTTGGCCAGAAAAAAGGTTTCCATTTAGACTTCATTGACACTAAACTGTGTGCTTAATGTTCATTGAATTGACAAACATCAAGGAAGCAACGTTGTGTTGAAACTTCGTTCTAAACTGCTTTAAAACCCGTTTTCAAATTCTGGCTTCTGTTCTCTGTGCTGTGGAGGTTGTAATGAAAAGCCAGGTCCATTGAAATATGTGACAGAATGCCAACTGATTTCAAAAGGGCT